CGAGGAAATCTTAAACGGGACCCGGTATTCTTTCTTTCTTTAAGATAACGGAAGGAAACCCAACTTTTCCCCCCTAACAGATGGGTGGGGCTTATGAGTCTTCCATTTTAAAGAAAACTTTTTTCAAAATATTGGAAGTTAAACCAAAACCCCAGAAAACAGGGGGGCAGGCCCCCAAACCCCCCTCTTCACCCCTGGGGTTTTTGTGTGTGCAAAGGGGGGGGGGGCCCACAATTTCCTTTTCCCCCCTTTTTTTTTTTGGAGAAAGGGGAAATTTCCCCACCCCCTTTTAGTCCTTCCTCTTTTTTGTTGGGAGGAACCTCCCCACCCCCTTTTTCACTCTGCTTTGTGTGTGCCAGGTTGGAGTTCCACCCTCCCCATTTCCCCTGCCTTGATTTTGCCAGGGGAAGGGCCCCAACCCCCTGTTTGCCCCTCTTCTGTGGGTGACAGGGGGCAGTCCCCCAACCCCCTTTTTGCCCCTCCTCTGTGTGTGCCAGGGTACGGACCCCCACCCCCCCTGATGGGCCCTTCTCTTTGCGTGACAGGGGGGGGTGCACCAACCTCCCCATCGACCCTGCCTTGAGTTTGACAGGGGGCGGCCCCCCAACCCCCCAATGCCCCTGCTCTGAGCCTGACCAGGGGCTGCCCCTAGGGATTGGGCCTCCCCTCTGCCCCCTGGGAGCGGCCCTAAGCCAGGAGGTCATTATCTCCCGAGGGGTCCCAGACTGTGAGAGGGCACAAGTGAGGTTGAGGGACAGCCCCCCCCCCCCCGCAAGTGCCCAAATTTTTGTTCCCCGGGCCTCTAGGTAAACTATAAATATCACAATCCCCTTCTTCCTTCTTTTCATGAAGGATGGTTTCTGATATAGATAACTTGTTTTATGAGCAAATAGAAGATGAAGATACAAATGAAAAAAGCCAAATTCCACAAAATGTGGAGAGACTTGGAAAAAGTGAAAAAGTGTAAAAAAGGGAGGAAGAAAGGTGTGCCTCTTACGCGATTGATTTTTGAAAGTTAGGGATGATGGACGAGCAGGATTCTTAGAAAGTTTTGTGTTTTAATGTACCATCTAACCTCTTTCTCAATGTCCTCAAGAGACCCTCAGTAGCCCAGCCGGTGTTGCTCAGTGGTTGAGCATCTACCTATGAACCAGGAGGTCAAGGTTCCATTCCTGGTCAGGGCACATGCCCAGATTACAGGCTTGATCCCCAGTGTAGGGCATGCAGAAGGCAGCCAATCAATGATTTTTCTCTCATTATTGATGTTTCTGTCTCCCTCTTCTTCTCCCTTCCTCTCTGAAATCAATAAAATATATATGTTTAATTTTTTATTTTTTTACATTTTATCTGATTATACTTTTTAAATTAAATTCTATATTGTTGAAAGTATTACACATGTCCCCTTTTTTCCCATTGACCTCTCCAATAAAAATTTTTTTTAAAGAAATACTCAGGCTGAACCAGTTTGGCTCAGGGATAGAACGTCGGCCTGCGGACTCAGGGGTTCCAGGTTTGATTCCGGTCAAGGGCATGTACCTTGGTTGCGGGCACATCCCCACTGGGGGGCGTGCAGGAGGCAGCTGATCGATCTCTCTCATCGATGTTTCTGGTTCTCTATCCCTCTCCCTTCTTCTCTGTAAAAAATCCATAAAATATATTTTAAAAAAAGAAAAGAAATCCTCAGTAAAATATTATGTTCTTTTTCAAAGGTTTCTGGAATTGATTTGTGTTTATTTTTAACATGACTTTGTGATAAGACTGCTTTAAGGCAGAAACAAGAAAGTTTATTTTTTTAATTTTTATTTATTTATTTATTTTGTTTTCATTTCAAAAATCTTTTATTGGCATAAAAATGAGAATTGGAAATAAGTTGGCACCAAATAATTCACTTAAATGCATATTACAGTATTGGGGTCGAGAAACTATTTTATCCCTCTTTGCTGTTTTTCCCCCTTCTGCCCACTTTCCTGGGTGTTGGGGGAGCTCTCTGACAACAGTCACAAATCCAGCGACCTGATGGGATAGCACTGAGGCCCACACAGAACCTTTGGTAGCCTCTGTCACACACATCACAGAACATCATTTCCTCTTCATGGTGGGGCTGTCCACACACAATGCAAGTTTGACATTCCATGCACTGCCATGGGTAGGTCTTAATCATAGAAACAAGCTCCATGGTCATTTCCAGGCAAGAAGGATGGCCGCTGTTCTCACGCTGGGAGCAGTGTATAAGAGGTTCAGCCTTCCCTTTCTTGTTGGACTCCTTACCCTTCAGACAAATTCCACATAGAGCACTGGGAATGACCTTTGGCGAAGTGCCCTTGTTTCTCCTCTTCTCGCCCTCGTGACCATCCTCAGCATCGTCCGAATCGCCCTCGCTGTAGAGCGCAGGCAGCTTCGGATCCAGTGGTGGCTCGTAAAGAGCCATGTTCAATGGCAAGTAGCGCAGCTCATCCGGCGAGTACCTTTTGTAATATTCCTGGAACTGTCCGGGGATGAGGGTGTTCCAATTTCTATGGAACGTATGCACAGGTGTCCCAAAGTGCCTCATTTGGATATACCAATACAGACGTCAAGGGGAACTTACTATTAATTAATATGGCCAAGCTTAACCAAAAACTAAGGAGAGAGAGAGAGACACAGGAGATAAACAATACAAGAAATCACACAGGTTTATTTACCAGCGAGCTGATGGGTTTCAGTCCTTGGCAGGCCACCCGGAGACACTCGCTGACAGAGGAGACACACGGAGGTCATCAAAATTCGCTGCGGCAAGGCCTCTAGCAGTTTGGGCTCAAGGCAGAGCAGGAAATGGCAGTTTCGCAGTTTGGCAGTTTCCAGGGGGGAGGAGATCGTCCTGTCTGTGGAGGGCAGACAAGCGTCTGAACCGCAGCAGATTTGCTCTCCTTAAATCTTTGAAGCTGGGCGTCTTCAGTGTCTCTTATCGGGTGCCATACACGGGTGCTGCCCTGTTATCTAGGTATACACTCAGGCAGAAATGTTGTGACCATGTTCAAAGCTTATTAATCACACACACATCTTATTTTTGGAGTTGTTTACAAGTTTTGGTCTAAAAATAAAATGGGGTCTACTTATGCTAACTTATGCTAACACAAAATGGAGTCTACTTTATGCTAACTAAATTTATTACTATAACAGGCTTCTTCAGTGTCTCATATCAGTGTGCTCCGGTGGCCTTCTGGGCTTATCAGGATATACACGCAGGGGGTTACAAGGTACTTATCAGGAGTTAACATGCTGGGAGTTGTTGGTCAGGAGTTACAAGTTATTTGTCAGGAGTTAACTTGCAGGGCGTTACAAGTTACTTATCAGGGTCTCACACGCACACACACAAATTAAGTTCCTCTTCTAAGTAAAGTTTAAAATTCATTCTAATAAAGAAATGAAATTTGATTATACTATCTTATACTAACTAAACTTATTACTATAACAGAGGGCCACCGGGTAGGAGCTGACCTTGATCCGCTCTGTTGGTAACACCTTGTACTTCCCTTGAGGCACCTGGATGACGTGTGTCTGTAAGTCGAAGTATGCCCTCCTCTCCTCCATGTGCTCCCGGTTCAGGCTGCTGTTGAACTTCGTGGCTTTCTTGGCGGCTTTCTTTTTTTTGGTCTGTTGCTGAAAGCCCATGTTCTTTTATTGTACCCATCTAGGTCAGTTTGGGCTAAAGGCAATTTCACTGCCTAGCTCTACAAAGAGCATCTGGGAGTTGAGGTCGCTGGCCACACTCACCGCTGGTAGAGATGCATTAAAGCTGACTTGAACTTGGTTTTTATTCCACTTGGCATTTTCCCTGGTTGACCTGCTTGGGCCATTTGTACCCCACTGAGAATTGATTGCAGCTGGCTTGGAGCACCTGTCATTTGCACCTGCTGCAATCCTGAGGCTCCTGCAAGGATTGTTCCAGTTCCTGGCTGGCCAGATCCACTGCTGCCTGAAGGTCTCCAATTAGACAGCCCTTTTCCAAAGGCAACAGCTGCCACCAAGGCATTGGTGTCTGCAGGGTTAAAGGTCTGCTTGTTTGGCCGGAGACCTCCACTCTCTGATTCTCGTTCCTCTTTGCTGATTTTCTCCAAAAGTTTTGAGCACATTTTATTGAAACTCTGGATCTGCTTCTGAGCTACATAGCACCGATGCGGGCAGCATCTGTTGTCAGTTGCTTCTCTTGCTCTTCAACCTCAGGGTCAGGCTTGGTTCTCAGATGGTCGGGGACTACCTCATGGCTGAAAACAGGTACTCGTCCTTCCGTCTGCCGCATAAGATCTTCATCACGGTCTGGGGACAACACCAGAGGGATGATGACCTGGTTACGGAACAGTGGTGTCTTTTCATGCTTCAAGACCTTGTTCAGAGTGTTCAACTGTCCAGAGAGCAAGGCAAAGCTGTCCAGGACAGAGGGCCAGGTCAACCGGTCATACTCGTTCTCTAATTTGTAAATGAAACTCCCCAGTGAATTCTTCAGATCAGCCACTTGACTCAGCAGTGCATCTAATGACGCTTCAAGCTGCTTCTCCTCCCTCTGCATAGTGGCGGCTGTGTCTGCGGCAACCACCCTTGGCGGCTTTCTTGATAAACTCCACACTTTGCTGGCTTCCACTTTCTGCCTATTCTGCTGCTGCATTTGCGAGTACTCTTTGTAGTGGTCCCGTGATGCGCTGGCGTTCTTTCTCTTGCAGAATAACTGAATACTCAGCAGCACCTCTGAGAGAAAGCTGCCCTCGAGTTCCACTTGCTGCCAGTCAGCCCAGTTTCTCCTCGTATGAGTCTAGGTCCCCAGAGACTAGCCTGGAACTGGAGTTCAGAGCAGTCGGGAGCTTGAGACTCCCGATTTGTTGGGGTCCAACCCCAACAGATCCAGGGGTCCCCAAAGGTGTGGATAGAGTCGGCGAATAAGGAATGACACGGAGACAGCATTCAGTTGATCAGCAGCCTAGCCAGGATCTCTAGCCAGGATCTCCAGCCAGGTTCTGTGTCTTATTGTCTTGTTACATCTGTATTTATACCAGTTGATTTTAATCCTATCAATTTCTATTCCAAAGGTTAGGGCGTTTCTTATCTCCATTCCAGGGAGTAAAGATTATGTAGCTTAAGGGTGATTGTTTGTAGTTAAAGTGATTAACCACCCACCTGGCATTTAGATAAGGGGTTTTATTCCCTCCCTAACTTCAGGGAAAAATCCCTACCTGGGGAAACAACCTTTCTCAGAGAGGCGACCTTGGTTAAAACACATAGCGCCAAGAAGGTGAGTAAACATATTAAGAACAGTATGCCATATACACCAGGTCCCTTGAAACATATGCTGTGCAGATGTTTCTTCCCTGCAGCAACTGTGTCAAGCAGCAAGGATGGACCGGCTTCTGGCAGATGATGTGGATTTTCGTCCCATGTTGACAATCTGTATGGTTCACTTGTTTATTAAAAAAAAAAACCAAACCACCAAAGCTACCAGGATCAACATAAGAATGTCCAAACATTTCTGCTGGGCTCTGGGACTGCGAGACGCTGGGAGGGGAGGATTCTCTGCCTCTTTCCCTTCTTAAGGGCCTTCACCGCGCCTCCCGGTCAGCTATCCAGCAACCGCCATCTTAAAACCTCGTGCCCCGCCACAAGCCCATATTTTTAATTATTAGCTGTATGGTCGGTCAGTGCAGGCCCTCTTCCAATTGCAGACTTCTGACTTCTTGTATTCTCACTTGGGGAATGTGAAGAAAGTTTAAATGTATTTCATTTACAGCCATCATCAAGTTAACTATACCCCATGTGTCAGTGTAGAGCACACAAAGAAAAGAACACGTTGGGCAAATAGAAGAAAAGTGGCCTGAATATATGGGCCTTCAATATATCAAATTAATAATAATATTAAAAGACATTTAAGAAGGTAAAGTATCTGGGAACAGATCCTAGACAGTCCTGAAGCCAAAGGTTATTTGTTAAGAAAGCCACAACTATTTTGCTTGCATACTCTATTTCATGTTAATTCCAGAGTGTCTCCTGAGATGTTTAGAAGTGCAAAGTCCTTTAAGAAGTTACCAAAAGAACAGAACACAAAATATAAACCACCAATAATTTTTTAAAAAGATAAACTGTGTCCAGAGGGAATATATAAACTCTAAAATCCTGTCTCCAGAGAGTTTAATGCTTTCATTTTTTTTCAGTGACTCACTGGAAAGCTTTCATTGGTAAAAATATACCCAAGACGGGAAAATAATCAGGGCTGTTTACCAAAGCAGATACAATGTTCAAAAACTGGACATGATAAACTGTGGAGAGTAGTCATAGCACATGGCTGCCATTTCACTGGATTTTGATGTTATTATAAGACCTACCTGTGGTTTTGTTGTTTGTTTGTTTGTGTGTGTGTGTGTTTTTTTTTTTTTTTGGGGGGGGGGATGAGCTTACTTTCATATAGGTAGAACATGCAAAAGAAATGAAAATACATGAGAACTAATAATGGCAAATATCAGTTTTTAGCACCCACTGTTTGCTAGTTATTTTATATACTCTATTGTCAAGCATCACAGTAATTATGAAGAATATGAATTACAATTCCACTGTTATAAATTAAAGAAATACAGGCAAGTTTACTTTAAATAGAGGTAAAATAATCTATGCAAGGTTACATGGGTTGATGAGACAATATCCTAATTCCATGTTAGTTTCAGGTTCAAGCTCTGGGTGTGGTCAGTGGACTCTTTATGGAGTGTCTAGCTCATCAAGACGCTTAATTATTTCCCCCTATCTCCTTCCACACACATACATTCTTAGTTGATCTAGGCTGGCTCTTCCAGAAGTCTGTTTCTCAGACTGCAATTTACTTCACTGTTTCATGTACCCCACTCCTCTCCTTCCGGGCCAGAGTTAATTGATTCAGGGGTAGGCTAAAATAATTGGAGTTCCTTCCCTGGCTTTTTGAAATTAATGACAAATGAGTAAAATTAAGAGGAATGTGTGTAGTTTACAGACCAGGAAGCAAAAGGAGCCAAACTGTAAAGGAAGAGAAAAAACATCTGTTCAGAGAAAAGTCGATGTGAGAAAGCAAGATTTCTGCCTGGGCTCTCAGAATTGTTTCTATCCCAGAACCCACTCCCAACCCATCCTATAGCTCAGCTGTATTCTTCCCAAGGGTTCCATGATATTTTCTTGTTTCATTATAATTTCTTGTTCTGTTTAGCTTAAGTTAGTTCCAGCTGTCATGCAGTACTTGCAATCCAACTGTTCTAATACCGAATATGCTACAGTTGATTTTCATCGAGAGGATAAAAAGACAAAACTTCACTAGCCTCAAAGATCAAGTTGACTGCAGTGTCTTATATCTTTCTTTACAAAGAGCTGACTAAATCTCCAACTCTGCAGGCTTCACCCACGTGCTGAGGACCAGACCTCTCTCTAGACAACAGTGATGTTAAGACACCTAGACCAGTAACTCAAGGGAGCCAGCATTAAGACCCATGCAAGCTTTGGGTAAAACACACCTGATTTTGAATCCCAGATGCTATCTTCCCAAGTGATCTGGATAAAACTCACCTTAGTTTCACTAAACCTGAGATCAGTGGTTCTCAACCTTGGCTGCACATTAGAATCACCTGGGAATCTTTTTAAAATCCTGATTATTGGGCCTCATCCTCCAGAAATTCTGTTTCTTTGTTATGGGATGGGGCCACAACATTAGTAACAAAGAAACAGAATTTCCGGAGGATGAGGCCCAGAAATCAGGACTTTAAAAAGATTCCCAGGTGATTCTAATGTGCAGCCAAGGTTGAGAACCACTGTCTTAGATGTTTAAAAATGGAGATAATATTATGTATCTCAAAGTATGGCAGTACAAATTAGAAACAGACAAATACCATGTTTGACATATAGTAGGCACTCAAAAAATGGAATTTTTTAATTACTTGCCCCAATTCTGATATTCTTAACCAAGTGACATTGATTTTCTACATAATCTTCCTTTATAACAGAGTCTTCCCTCTTTTCCTTCCTTTATTCTCTTTCTTTCTTTCTTTTCCCTGCCTCAATCATTTGTTTCCTACCTGAGACACAAACTACTAAAGATATAGCTGCTGTCTTTAATGGTTCACAGTCTAGTAAGAGGCATTTCACAGCAATACAACAGCACAGGCTGGTAGCACAGAGAGGGAAGCCCCAGTGCTAAACTGACACAAAGTAAGAATATCTAACTCAGACCGGAGGTTCAGAAGGAATTACCATACGCCCCAATTTCCCGAGTTCTCTGTGCAGAGAAAAGCTGCTCAGGAGAGCTGTTAGATCTGCTTCCATCCATTGTGAGTGAAAAATAAAATTCTTTTCTGAAAAGGGGCTAAGATTTGGAAGTTCTTGTTATAACAACTAACATTAACACATTGACTAACCTAGTTCCCAAGAACCAGAGCCGCGTCTCTGAACACAAGCCCCAGGTGATGGATACCTGCACATAGACTCAGGAACGACTTTCCTGTACAGATTCATGACTATTGTTTGTTGTAAAGGTTGATGATTCAACACATCTTGACTTCTTCCCTTTGATCCATTCCAGGCCGCTTTTCTTCTCCTTGCTCCACACCCTTCCCCCAACACGGGCCCCCAGGGTGATGTCTGATTGTATCAGCTGACTCACCTCACAGTGTCTGCCTGGTCTGCAGGTGCCCAACCGTGTTGGGAGGACAAATAGAACAAAGTTCTTGTTACAAAAAGGGCAGCTTTCATCCCACTTTCGCATGTGCTCCAAGTCTCAACTTCTATTTTTATGCTTTTCTTAATTCTCCAAGGACGCGTTGGCTATGCCCACCCCGTGACACTGCTCTGCGATGGGATTAAACAGGAAGACTCCTTCCTGGAGACTCGGAAGAATGGTGTTTGTTGTGGGCATCAGCCTCTGGGTTTCTGCTTTGGTGTTTCCCACTTCCTCTCTACCTGTATTGGCACAATATATAAAGTTAATCCTTTTCTTTACTCTTCCCATCTCCCCCCTCCACTTTCCCTTCTTTTCAACAAGCACACACTATCTCCACAATTTCTTGGGATGATATTGATGAATAAAATTACATAGGTTATAGGTATAAAATTATATAATACATCATCTGTATATGGCATTATGTGTTCATCACTCAAAGTCAATCTCTTTCCGTCACCATATATTTGATCCTCTTTCCCTTTCCTAACTTCCTCCCATCCATTTCCCTTTGGTACTCACAATACTGTTGTCTGTGTCCATGAGGTTTTGTTTCTTTTCCCTTGTGTTTCTATGTTTTTAATTTGGTTGTATTTCTATTATTTTTCCCCCTCTGGTTTTCATATATAAAGTTTTACATATGTTTCCTTTTTCCCCGATTGAGCCCTCCCCCTGCCACTCTAACCCCCGAGGGCAAGCCCCCATCGCTCCAGTGTCTGTGTCCATTGGTTATGCTAACATGCATGCATACAAGTCCTTTAGTTGATCTCTAAACCCCCTCTCCTCCCCGCCCCCCGCCATTTGTCTCTGGATCTATTTTTGTTCATCAGTGTATGTTGATCATTATATCCCACATATGAGTGAGATCATGTGATATTTATCTTTCTCTGACTGGCTTCTTTTGCTTAGCATAATGCTCTCCAGTTCCACCCATACTGTTGCAATGGTAAAAGTTACTTCTTTTTTATAGCAGTGTAGTATTCCATTGTGTAGATGTACCACAGTTTTCTAATCCACTCATCTGCCGATGG